ACAACCTTCTGGTGTCGGATTTGCGCTCGTTTACGTCGTCGAGCTTCCTGTTCTCCAGGTAATGAGCAAGCGAGCAGGAAAGGTTGAAGAGGTGTATAGATAGGTTTGACGAATATGGCAGACGGGCAGCCGCGGTCCTGCCTGGCTTCAGAGTCTTGTGGCTTGAGACCGAACACCCGCGACGTTGCGCGTTGTCGTGAAGCAGGTTGACTTGTCGCTATATTCGGCGAAGCTCTTCTGCAATCTTTTCGAGCAGCTAGCATTGTGAAGCCCTTGTACTCGTCAATCCTCCAGACAGATCATCACCCGTGGGAAATACCGTCAAACGTCAAAATGGGCAGTAGTCGTGTGTTGCGTCAGAAAGATCAAAGTCTTCGCTGCGGAGCGTTTAAACCAAGCCGAAACCGCCATGTGAGAGAACGTGCCCAGGCCTATCCCGGGACTGATCCTGACCACCTCTGGTGGGCAGATCTCTCTAGGCGGAGCTCTTACAGAATGAGCGCTCGGAGTGTCTGGCGGGAAAAGTTGATTTAGTGCCATGCAAACGCCATTATTGGGAAAGCTGATTTGATCACCGTACGTAGCACGGTCCACTCCTACTATATACCACCCATGGAAGATTCCAGAGCATTCGGGAGAAATCCAGAAAGAGCGCGAATTGAGTGTTAAGGAACTTTCCTTCCAACCTAATATTAAATTCACATCTATTACTTCAAACTACAGCTCTATTTGTGGTAACGTCACAACCCATGACAAATTTCCTTAAAAAAGCTCAAAAGCCAATTCTCAGCTTTTACCTTGCGTTATCAGCTGACTGATGTTCGCCGACGTAGCTTAACACAGCATTATTGATCCATAAAATCAAGTGGAAAGAAATGTTCCGTTGTTTCATGAATGGGTAAGGTTTGAAGTTTAAAATGCCGTAAACTGCCGGTTCTTCGGCAACGAACGGTGTTGCATCCTAGTTGGGGCAGCCGTAATGGAGTTGGTTAGGGAAACAGCTTCCCACCTAGCTCACCTTATTCACATTACCACTCTGACGGAATCTACATCTCACATGCCCCACATGAGCTCGAGCAGTTCTATAGTTGCAAGCGTGAACCCTTGACATGGCCAATGGGATCGTGTCCCTTTCGAAGCAGCCCTACCAAAACTTGCCATCAACGTTTTTTATTTAGGTAGTGGTTGATCCCTAGATTTGCTTCCAGCATCTACAAGATTATTAGATGATATAATACAACGGGGTTAGGTGAAGTTTGATGCCTCTGCGATTTCGAATGGAAGCCAAAAGCGTGGCGCAACCCAAAGAAATAAAAAAGGTTTCTGAGCAAGTGTGCTGTTCCATAACATGTAAGTAGTGAGGCTGGTTACCACCACCTTCCTTGGTAACCCTGTGGTTAAACGTCGGTCACCAACACTATTTCCTGCCCAAGCCTACAGTCGTTTTAGGACGATGTTCCCTGACGTGTCGCTGATTGTCGTGCGCGTAATTCCACCGGTTGTGGCCACCCACAACGTCCGGTTTCGAGCAGCTGTAACAGCTTGTCTGATGTTGCCTGCTAATTATCAGCTGCGAGTTGCTAACAACACTGATAGGTGATAAACGTTTGACGCAGATCGATGGCGCTGACCCGGAACTTTGCACGCGCTGACGAGCCATCAATAATCGATCAAGTTCAAGAAATGACGAAGGGTAAACATATGACATTCTGGCTTCACCAAGGAATCTCACACTAATCCTTCTGAACGAGTTCCGTTGGCCTAGGGTTACGGTTACTTTGGTATGCGCCACGCACTCAATTTCTGACAAATCATCAAGATCCAAAAACGCTCGTTGAGCCCATGACACAACTATGGCAAGCCATCTGGAGTTCAAATTGGGTTTTTCTTTTCTTTTGCAAGTATTAGCTTCCAAATAAATAACCCGGTCCATGATTACAAATAGGCAATGTGACTCCCTCATCGTCAACAATTTCAAATGCTAGAGCTCATACGAATCATGTTTCCAGAATTGTATGCTTCTCAAGTAAAAGTGGGCATAGTATCGCTGAATTCGTGAGTTCAAGAAGCAGTTTAGATATACGAAATGACATATTTTGTCGAGAATTTTTCCCTCAGCTTTTGGAGATCTGCACTTCATTGATTTTTCTCGCTTTCTAAAGCACAACATCGATTGCCATATGAAAGGTAGCTCCAGCAATGGTTCCTCAAATCTTTGTATTTTCGACAAATTTGGATTTTAACACTATTAGCGCGATTTGCAATTTCTGAGCATTGAAAAGTTTGCTCAAACAGTTGAACTTAACTGAATTGCAAGATAAGTGCCCGAAAAAATCGATAAACCAGGTGAAAAATTTATGGGTTGGACAAGTAAATTAGCAGAATGGAAATTTGGAGCTAGAGGCAGTTAGGGAGGGGAGGGGGTGGCAGGGAGAGATTGTGTGCTCTAAACTGAAAGTGGCGATAAAGATTTGCGAGACAAGTGAATATTTCCACCCTTTCCTATCCTGGTCCACCTAAGGCTTAGTTAATACTAGAGATACCTAGAAATCGATCATCAACAAGTATATCAGGCCCAAATCCAGACCACCAAAAATCTTCGAATATCTATATAGGACAGAAGGTAAACTGTTCAATAAAGATCGATCTCTCTTGGCGATGCGCCACGCATTCCACTCCAGAGTGGCATTTGAGTGCGATTTGGCCTATACATTGAACTGCCGTAGCCATCTTATGTACAACACCACTATTTTATTCTCCTATACGAGTCTTGTTAGAACTCTCAGAGGCTGTTAGGCCCTTTCCCATCTAGGGCGAACTTGGTATGGGATTGTCCCCACAACACATCACATAATCACGGAATAATAATTATCAAAAAAAAAGTTCGAGGTCACTGTAGCCGCTTAGAAGAAATTAGGCTACTCTTGCGCTTACTGCTCTTATATAACATGTTATTCAACGACAACCTGAAACTGTGGGAATAGGGACGCTTCTAAGAACAGCCAAGCCCTACACTGTAAGCTCGCGGTCGTGTCACGCAACCTCTGCGCACGGTGGTCGCGTCTCATCGCGTTCGTAAATATGTTTTTATGACTGCTAATGATTTGTTTTCATAACCGACACCCGTCCGCATCTATCTCTGTTTCATCGCGCGGCGCTCTCAGCTCGGTGTACTGTAACTGAAGAATGTGGCGACCACCACCTTCACCACCATCATCGCTCTGTTCCGTCTTCGATATTGATCGGATAAATGTCAACCAGTGGAAATATATAACGGGAAACTCAAGTCTATTATCCATCACCGGGAAGAAGGCGGGTAAACAAAGAAAATGTGAGCCACACATTTCATCTTCACCGCATTGGCATGCTCACAGCAACCAATCTCTATCAACAGACATAAAAAAAAAAAAAAAAAATATAATAGTTGGTATGTAGAATAATCGGCGGTAAGTGAAATGGTTACAACACTTGCTTGGAAAGTGTTGAGCTGGTAGCTCATCTTAGGCCCTAGTTCTGACGCGTATTGCTCCGTCCCTCTTGGTCCTATCCGAAATATGGTTATTATTCTTTCACATTTTGAAAGTACCCGTCTGCAAAGCTTTGTTGGTAATTATGAAAGATCATTATGATATGATTATTTGATATATAGAAAGAATTCGAGTTGAAAAACACCGAATGGAAAATAAGTCGATTTGTATAAATCTTTTGCGTATGCTACCGATACGCATAGGGTAAGTTCACTTGACTTCTAACAGAGATAACATGAGCTTTAATCAGAAACCGACCCTTCGGTGTCATGCGCCTTCTTCAACACCTGCAACAAGACAGGAATCTATTCGAGAGAAGCTTGTCCCGTCCCTCGCCCCTGTCCTTCAGACCACATATTTCAACCCAAAGGAATATTCAAGTGAGGTAAACTGTCGAAGCGATTCCGTCCGAGGCACGATGAGAACAAATCTCGAAAGAAAAGAGAAATATGAATATTTAACTTCAATATTTCGGATATTTATATTTATGATATTATATTTACTCATATTCAAAACATGTATTCGTACCCGTGGTATTCACTTGCAGTGATGGAGTTGCATATGAATACTTACACCCAAATCTCTAAATAATAGATTCCCAAAGAAATTTCATTCTTGTGTTTATTCGTAACTGTTTATCACTAAATTTGACCTAATTATCGGTCTTTCGAATGATATTTCTGCACATTATATACGCTTACGGGATCCAAGGTGATTAGCATTTTTCTAGAGATGCCTCTAACAAAATATCAGAAGTCTCTCGTAAAAGGCACTTTCAATTTTTTATCGATACCGCAGAAAACGACTTCGGAGAACGAATTAAGGAAGAACAGCATAGACGCGATTTCTAAGTGGAGCCGTTCAATAGAAACTCGTGTGTGAATTTGGCGAAGAAAAAAAATCGGTTAATAACATTTGGAAAAGAAAAAAAAATTGTGGTCAAGTAAAATTGAAAACAAAAATGAATGAAATCAAAAATCAAGCGACATTTAAAATAATTAAAAAATTTAGGGGAGTTGCGATCTACCACACAAAAATTGGAATTGTTGACAAAAGTTTCGAGGTTACATTGTGAAGGCCATTAGTGATACAACGCATGATTATCAAGGTCAAATTTCTCCTTAATTTTTTCACGTCTACTGAAGGCTGAAAGAATGCAAGGTCGATAGACGATATTGTTTAGAATTCCGGTTGGGTTTTTACTCCCAACGATGGTCGACCTATGAAAGCCAGAAATCTTGATCCAGGGGATTTCTTTCGTCTCAAATATGAGCTAAGTTTACAAGGGTTCGTTTGTTTTCTGGGTTCCAGGTTTGTTCTGCCAGGAAATCTACATTCAAATGAATTCTTTGATGTGTACAAATATGACTCTCTGGGAAATTTGGCAAATAACGGCAAAATTAAATTAATTATTAAATTAATTGATTACGTGGTCGGTACGGTAGGTACGTGATTATGGGGAAAAATGTGACCTTATGTCGATCTAAGTAGTGAATCATTAGAAAATAGAGGAAAACAACAAAAACAAAAAGTAAACATAGCTGAGCGCATTAGTTCTTCAGAGGAATGAAACTAATCTAAAGCAAAAAAGCAAAATTCTTTGAAAATTCACTGACCTGCTTGTCTTGCGATTTCGTTGATTCGGTAAGTTCAAATCGGGCAAACTGTTGGCGAGGGGACTTCGCGAATAAGTGGCGTCAATGTATGGATACGGTATCTCGGGACTAGACGGCGGTGATTCTTCCTTAATAGGAAGTGGCGGTGGCTGCTGCGGCTGTGGCGGAGCCACTGATGGTTGTGGTGGAGGAGGATAGTAACTAGGAATAACAGTCGAAGTAGTCGGTTGTGCCGAACAAGCACCTCCTGCACTGGTGGCAATGGCGGCAGCGGCTAAGGCACATGTAGAGGCAAAAGCTGGAAGGCGGTTTGGCGTTACGGCTGGGGCGAACGTGGCGCCAGGTAGCGCCGGTGGCGGCATGGCCAACGTGATCGGCGGCTCACGGATGAGTTGGTCGTGAACTCGCGGCGCTCGGGTGAGCATACCGACTGTTGGCGTTTCAAGTGGCGAGAATG